AATCAAAAGCATCCCAGCATTTCTTCTGGGAATTTCAAAAACACTTACCATTATTATTAAGGGAAAATGGTCAACTAGAGTCACAGGCCATAGGACTGCTTTCTGCAGACTTTACTTTTTCTCTAACATGGCTAACTGGAAGTAACTCAGTTTGGTTCAGTGCAAGCTAATTCACTTATGCGACAAAAATTTTGGGAAGAGACATAAGTGGTATTTTTAATATGGACTTTTTAAGTAAAATGTACTACTTAGGACATAAGGGATAAAGATATTTCCAGATGATTCATGGCCCAGATTGAATCTAAGGTCAACGGTGACAATCTATAACAAATAATACTACAGACTATAGGCAATTCAACCCTGAGTGATGAAGCTCAAGAAGAGAGACCCTTAAAACTGACAAGGAATTAAGGGCTCTTCCATAATACTGTATACCACTGGTGTACCACTGGTATATAGTATTACACCAGTGACGGCAAGCCTACAGCATGCAGGCTGCAGCAGGCTATTGGTATCACGGAAAGTTCTGAAAGGTTTACCATCACTGCTATATATCATAATATTTCAACCCAAAACTTCAGAATTGTTTATAATCTTACATGAGAACTTTAGAAAATACAGTCCCTGAAAGTAATTTTGTATATATTATTTTTCACTTAGATAAAACAACTATCTAGTTAAATGATAAGAAAATTGTGAAATTTCATAAAGTACCCTGTATCTCTAGGTTTCTAGGATATCTTTTCATCATACCTTAGAATAGTGGTGGCCAGCCTACAGTGCATGTTGTATCACTGAGAGCTCTAAAGAGTTCACTCTGCCTGAGAACGAAGAATAGTGACATGAAATGTGGGCTGCATGCCTGGGGAAGGAATCGTGGTACGTACGACAGGAATCAGATCACGAGTTCAAACCAGTGACCAGGATTACAAACAACTTCAAAGCCACTTGCCTTGCCTTTTGACTTAGTTTATAAAGGATTGAAAATTTCCAAGTGAACCATGCTGTCCATACTGTAACAGGCTCTGGGCCATTAATTATGTTTGCCTACCTTCAATACAAGGGATTCAAACAGGACAGCCTCTGTGTAACTTCCCTGGTTCATACCGGGACAATGCATCCTCCAGAGAGAAAGAATTCTGAAGTCTGGCTGTCTGGCTACGCAGTGCTTAGCAAAGCTTTGTAACCTTTGGGTCAGACCCTGTGGCGTAATTTTATCATCTACCCATAGCTAAGCTGATATTTAAGGATTTCTATAGGTGCTCGATGAAATCCACAGAACAAAGGGCTGCCACTGACTATCACCAGATACACCCACAGCCAAAGCAGTTCTGACCAGAATGTTTCCTGTTCCCCAAAAGAAGCCACCAGGAAAAAGAGTACTTGGGTCACTGGAACGCAGACACTTGTGACTGGGTTTTGCTGTTCATTTCCTACTCTCCAAAGAAGTAGATGTGATGACTCCCTGCGTGCACACAATGGGTACAAAGACTCACGTCCCTTCACAAGCTTCCCCTCACACATCAACAAAATGGAATTACCTTTGCTTCAGGCAGAAACACCAACACTGCAGAAATGGCTACTCCTCCCTTTCCCAGCAGATTCTGCTATGTAGGCCTTCTGTACCTAGATAGAAACTAGTAAAACATTCTGAAAAAAAAAAAAAAAAACCAACCTAGTTTGATAGAGATCTTTTAGCCTCTAAAGGAAACTAAATAGAGGTCCAATGAAGGAGAAGAAACTGTGTGTGGTGTGTTGAACGTACTGCTTTGTATTTACCAATCTCACACAGATTAAAAATGCCAGTGCAGTGGGTTTCTGGTGTGCCTACCTGTTACCCAAATGATGGCCAAAATGAACTGATTTCATCCTCTTGGCCACAGCCAAAACCAACTGTGGCTGCGGCACTACAAATGGAATTAACTTCTCTTAGCCTTTTTTTTTTTTTTTTTTTTTTCCTAACTAGGGGAAAGCATGAACATAGTCCCCCACTACTACAAATTACACAGTTGAGTTTCCCACCTTTGAGGAAATCACAAAAATCAGCATATCAGAGTGCAACAGACAAGCCTCACCCTAGGGAAACCTCCATCTTTTTTTTTCTTTTGGCAGAACCGGAGATTGAACTCAAGCCCTTGCGCTTGCCAGCTAAGCACTTATTCTACTGAGCCATCTCCCGGGCCCCTGAAACCACCATTTGATCATGGTATCTCCCCTTCCAGGTGAGTATTCTTAGCCTTTTTCTAATCCCACTGTCTTTTTCATGCCAGTAGACTCTTAAATACCAAAGGACAGAGAGATAAAATCAGTCCTCAGGTCAGAATTACATTTAGCAGAGGAGTCCTACAAAAAGTATTTCTAGTTGAAGCTGAGTGTGGTAGTGCATGCCTATGATCCCAGTACTCTGGGAAGCTGAGGCAGGAAGGTCACAAATTGGAGCCCATCTTGAGCAACTTGGTGAGGCTTTGTCTCCAAATAGAAAAATAAATAAAAAGGGCTAGACTCAATCCCCAGTACTGCAAAAAGAAAATTTCTAGTTGATCCTGTTAGGCCATAAAGAGATGTGGTGATTTCTAACATACACAAAGAGAACCAGTAGGGCTTTTGGGTTAAAGAACAATTCTAATGAACAAAATGCAAAATAATGCATTAATTTAAATCGAGATAGGAGCAAAAATTTCTGCATATATTTGAGAGCTTTGCTTTCTCCTCCTATTTTCAGTCCTTACTATCAACTTAAAAGGCAGTTCTTGAGTGGCACAGAATTATTTAACTTGCACCCGATTTCCTGAAACAAAAGTCTTTAACGTATGTACTGGAGTTACTGAACTCCATACCCTAAAACCACAGACTCTGAGATTAAAAGGCAATTTTTTGAAAAGAAATTATCTTTATATCAGAGACTTTAGGGTTTGGATATTACTTTATCCTCTTAAGAGGGCCTAGATTGGGTCTCATCAAAAATTTTATGTTATAAATTTAAGTATTATAAATTTTACAATAATATCTAATTCCACTGATGAACATAAGACTGAATGAGCTTACAGATATAAAATTCTTCCATATCCATACTATAATGGGACAATATACACTTTTAAAAGTCTATTTTGCCTTCCTAAATAACAGATAAAAATATCTTTAAAGTGCATGAATCAGTGCATCAAGAAAAAGTATTCTACTTTCAAGTTGCTATCTACTTCTGTAATAAAGTTGCATGTTATCTAAGGATTGAGTTTAAATTTCAGAGTCCTGAGGATGTGTCATAAAGCAACACAGATTAGAAGTCTCCAGAGCAGCTTCACAAGTAACTTCACACTGACATGCCAGTTAGAAAGGAAAATGGTGCCAATCATAGCCTGAGGAAGGAGAAACCACTTGAACGAGGGAGACCAAAACCAATACCAATGACATCCCAGTACACTGATAAAACAGACTTGCTAACAGCCCAGACTCTCTGACATAGGAGATTTGATATCTACAGGAAACATTCCCTAACTGAAGACTTTTCAAAAGGAATGTGTTGAAAAACATCCTTATTTTAAAAATTAGCAGTTAAAGCCAAATATGGTGGTATACACCTATATTCCCAGCATTCGGGAGATTGAGGCAGAAGGATCACAAGTCTGAAGACAACCTGGGCTACACAGTAAGTTCAAAGCCAGCCTGAGCTACATAGTGAGACCCTGTCTCAACAAAACAAAACAAAACAAAAAACAAAATGAAAACTAGCAGTTGGGTCAGGCATGCTGTGGCACATGCCTCTAAACCTGACACTTGGGAGCTGAGGCAGGAGGATCTTTGTAAGTTTGAGGCCAGCCCTGAACTACATACTTAGTTTAAGACCAGCCTGAACTGCATAGTGAGACTCTGTCACCAAACAAAAAAGAAAAACAATAACAGTTGGTAATTTTAAATTCAATATGCCATCTGTGTGTTTATACATTTTTGTTTTTTGAGAAATTTCACAATAAAATTCTGGAACAAAGTAACACTTTAAATATGTCTTCTTAGGCATGATGGTGCCTGCCTCTAACACCAGCACTCATGGGGCTGAGGCAGGAGGATTGCTGCAAGGTAGGGGCCAGCCTGGGCTACACAGGGAGTTCACGGCTGGCCCGAACTACATAGTGAGACCCTGTCTAAAGAAAAAGGTCTTTTTTTCTAGAAGGTTCAGCTCTCAACAAAGTAGCAAAACTAAACAAACCAATGAAATTTAACAACCCAGTCACTCTGTGTGGAGAACTCCAATATCTGGCCTATTATGAAGCAATTACTTTTAACTGTATCTTTTCTTTTTTCAGTCTTCTTGTGAGACAAGGGCTTGCTATGCAGTTCAGCCAGGCCTTGAGTTCACTTTGCAGCCCAGGATGGTCCCAGCCTCACAATGATCCTCCTGCCTCAGCCACCTGAGTTCTGGGATTACAGGCGTGCACCACCACACCCAGCTTCTTAATATTTATTTGTGCTCTAGAGGACAGGGTGAACATGAAGACAAATGATTTTTCACTGTTTGGTTCTATAAACTTGAACAGGAAAAGACTGAGGAAGCGACCACCTCTAGAATTTGCTGGACCATCAGTTCTCAGGAATTACCTGTGCTTCAGTAAGTAACATTTTCTCCCTAATGTTCAATTATTTTAGAAATAGAGGCCAGCCAATTAAGCCAAATAGCTCGGTGGATTAAAGTGCCTGCAAGCAGGCACTGGGCCCAGGGGTTTAACCCCACACCCCCCCCTCTTGTTCCGGCCCCACCCCTGGGGCATGCTGAGACAGCAATTGAGACTGGTGATGGTGGAGCGCACCTGTAATCCCAGCTCTTGGGAGGCTGTAAGCAGGCAGATCACTACAAGTCCGATCTAGCAGTGAGACCCTAAACACCCTCTAGACCCTTCCCTAAAAAATACCAAAGAAAAAAAAAATTTAGTATGAAAATGTGAATCCATTAGACAGTGAAATATCTTCCTGTAGCTATATTACTAATGGAACAAAGAAACCTCAATAAGAAAAAAACAAAACCAAAAACCCAGTAAGGAATATGATGTAACAATGGCCAGGACTTCAAAAGGGACCAGACAGTAAGACACACATGAAAGTGTGTCGGCTTCCCTGATGCAACAAACCTAGGATTTGAAAGAAAGTAAGCAAAGACAATCCTATGGCAAAAGCAAAAATTAGTATGTGTGATCCTTGGGAGCTTACTATGTCTGACCTGATAGCTCCATTTTGAAAGAAAGTCCGAAGTTGATAATACACAGGAAAACTAAGTGTGACTTTCACTGACTGGAAACAGCTCAGCAGAAAAAGCTATTTTACAAAGATTGTATTCAACTAGCTAAGGCATGATTCAACTTCAGTGATAAGGAGTGGTCCCGCAGCTATTTGATGCATAACAAGTTTGCTTTTCACTGCTCAGTCATTAAAATAATTTATCACAATGTATATACACTTTGGCCAGTGTAATCTTCAACAACATACATCCATGATGATAAAATAATGGAAGTATGATGCTGCAGAGGGAATGGGAATGTTATGACAATCGACAGCACCTGATCCTACTTAGGACTTTGCTCCCAAGAGACAGAGGGGCAGAGTGTTGTCTCTTGTTCCTGATAACATGCTAGAACTACTGTGGAAAGTCCTGTTCTCCCGATGACTGCTTCTGTAGGGAGGAGAAGGTGAGGCATCCATAGAATGATGGCCTGAACCAAAGGAAACAGTATGAAACAGAGGACAATGAAATCCTGGAATCGCAGGCATTCGCGGTCACTCGCTGGCCAGTCAGTTGCTCTGTACTCAAATCCCAGCAAACAGATTCCCTCACAATATAGAGCTCCTCACATGGGCCACTGGGGCACACTAGAGTCATCCACAGCTGCAGGGCCAGACTACTCCCAAAGCATCACAGGACTGACCTACAGGAATGAACTGAAGCACTTCCCACATTCTTTTACAATCATCATTTTAACTCTGTAAAAGCGGCAGCCTCTGTGGCTCAGAGCAGATGGGAAGCCTTCTCAGAAATGGATGAAAATGGTTTCAAAAGCAAAATGAAATTTGCTATAATAAATAAAGTAATAAATAAATCTAATCATTCAAAATTGGAAGGGAGTAACAGACTTCACACAGGAATAAGATATGCGGAAATGGGCCCACTGCGGAGGGCCTCGCCTCCTCTGGTGCTTCTCCTCCACCTGAGGCCCTGGCACCTGTGCCCAGGCACGGGGTGCAGCACAGCTGCTCTCCCCGGCACTGCCGAGCCCCAGGGCGCACGGAGTGCGAAAGGCTGTCACCAGGGAGGTGCAAGCTTTGGTCAGGTAAAGGACACGTGCAAGCAGCAGTAACAGGGAGGCTTCACTATCACCTTTCCTCAGGGGTTTTAAACACCAAAAGCTTTAAACCTGCAACACAAAAAAACTAAGTCCAGAAACTTTGGAAACCTGACTGGGTTGCACTACGTTTAATTTGAAAGCAAAAATTTCTAAGTAGCACTCCTACCATAAATACGGGAAGAAAAAAACCAGGGAATCTGGAGTGTTTTTCTAACCTTCTCTCTCAAAAGATATCGTTCCTTCCATATATGTATGTTAACCCTTGACTTTCAAAGGTGTAGGTTCTGAGATCAACTCAGTACCTCATTTTTACCCTTTCTGCATTCAATTTCTGGTACCCTTAGTAAAGGAAACTAGTTCTTGAAATAAGAAGTGATGGAGGCCAATTTTCTTCCCAGAAGATTTTAGGCTAAACTGATCATCCCTTTAGATTGCATGAAAGTTCTTGCTGCATGGCAAAAACACAGATTTAGGAAAGAAACAGGAGTCTAACTATCAAGAATAATAACATCCCTCCAAGGCAGTGAGGTCTCCAGGCCTGTTGGAGAGACCAAGAGTACCCAGCGGGCAGGAATATGGCAGTGGTGAGAAGCTGGACTGAGCATTCTCTATCCAAGACATGGCGCTCCACCATGGACAGTGTGCTTTTCCCACTTCTGGCACCTCAAGAAGTAAAGAGGGCAGGTACCACCAGATGCACTGGCATTTCGGGAGCAAGCAGTAATCTTAGTGATAAGCCTTATACCAACAGAAATCTATTTTTTAAAAGATAACATTCTGTCTCCTTTTAGGCTTTTGCCTGGTAGGTGCCTTCAGAGAGGGATTTTGCTGGAATCTGAAGCAACAAGAATGTGAGTCAGGGACCACAGAACAGGGGCACTATACCACCAAATGCAGAAGCCAAGAAGGGGAAAAGGCTATATGGGTCAACAGTCGGGTATGCCAGGCAGGGCGTGAGGCCCAGGAACCTCACACAGACTTTCAGCTCTTGCATATCCAAAACAAGAGGCACCAGCTTGCAGCCTGCTTAAGCCAGCATTACGGCCTGCCCCTGTCCCAGCACCCTTTAGCTAGTGTAGTAGATGTGGAAGTAGAGAGTCTTGTTGCGTAGCAGGGAGTAGGAGTTGTCGAACTTGAGCAGGTAGATGCCCTCCCCAGGGTAGTCATGGCTGCCGGCCTGCACATCTCGGTGGCTGTCCCGCCGGTACACAGGCATGACCTCCCCGTAGCGACCCCGCAGGGAGCTCCGGGAACCTCTCTCCACATCTCCCACAGGGACAGGTTCTGCAAGAGCAAAACAGCAGAGTATGCGGATGTGAGTTCAGAGACTGAATACAACCTACCTGAAGGTGAAAGGGTGGGCAGCGGGGAGCCTGTGACTTCTGCCTGGGATGGGTATTTCAAATTATCTGTGGGCCAGAGAGGTAGCTCAGTGGACTAAGCACCTGCTTAGGCAAGTGCGGAGACCAGGTTCAATCTCTGGCACCACATACTGCACTGGCCTCGCCCCCAAGTGTGCTGAACCAGCCACCAAGACTGGGCTGCGGTGGTGCATGCCTGTAATCCCAGCACTGAGGAGGCTGAAAACAGGAGGATCACTACAAGTCTGAGCTATAGTGAGACTCTGTAAAAAATACATTAAAAAAAAAAAAAAGACAAATTATCTGTGAATCTTTTTGGTCATTATAGTGACTGCTGAGTGAGACTGACATTTAGTACCTCAGGGTCTAAGAGTGCTAAAATCAGGATAGTACCTCTGCAACAAAGGGGTGCCCATGCAAACACCAGTGATGCCTCCCTTGACAAACAACAACAGATAGTCTGTGTATCTGGATGTTTGGGGAGGCATTTAGAGGGGAAGATCTGAAAATTCTTTCATTTTGTAGGTGAAAGGACGATTTAACAGAAGTAGGAGATGCGGATAAGCACAGAGTGACCCTAAATGTCCACCTAAAAAGCAACAAGTAAGATATACGGCCTTCCTCTTCCATGAATATCTACAGACTTCCTTGTAGACCTGAAGGAGCAAGTTTAAGGACTGATTTTAAGGTTATCTATAAAAAAAATAAGGCAGAAGGCTACAGTGTAGAAGCTACTCCTCAAGTATCCTCCCAAAATGTCTCAGGACCATTCAGAATGGATATTGCAAATAACTGGAATGTTGCAGAGAACCACTTTTAAAATTGCTCTGGCCATGAGGCAGACAGCAAAACTATAGTCAGTGAGCTATGGCAGTTTGGAAGGGAGAGAGAATCGCTACATTTAGCAAATTATAATCACTCAGTTTGGTTTCAGGCTGAAGATAAATATCCCCACATCAAGAGAGAAATGTAATATAATCTCAGTTTTGTTTGGATTTTTTTGAGACAGGGTCTTGCTATGTAGTCTAGGCTGGCCTTGAAGTCACTATGTAGCCCAGGCTGGCTTCAAATACACAGCAATCCTCCTGCCTCAGCCGCTGAAGTTCTAGAATTGTAGGCATGGACTGCCACGCCTGCCTCAGTTTTATGTATGATCTAGAAAACCTTGACTCCCCTCCTCTCTTCCCCTTCCTCACAGAGCAATTCAGGTTTACACCTAGGTTCTGAATAAAAGGAAAGGAAGCTTTCAACCAAGGCACCAATAGCTTAATACCGACCCCACCAGAATGTTCTCAGGATCTGACTTTGGTCTGCCACTCAACTTTAGCTTGCTATGCTGGGCCCCTCTCCTGTAGCGATCCTGGATTCGCCTTGCCTGTATTCTAAGGAAGAGACTGCTGCTACCGGAAGTGGTCACTAGGAATGAGGTTGAGCCAGAGAAGAAAACTGCAAATTGCTAAAATTTAACTTACCTTCCATATCCTCCTCGTCATCCTCTTCTTCCTCCTCATCCTCACTGGAGTCACTGACCTGCACAGTTATGTCAGTGCTTGTTACAGGAGTCCAGTCAAAGTAAACTCCAAAGCCAATGTCATAGTCATCAGTGGCAAACTCCCAGCAGACACGCCTCCCCTCTGGGTGGGTGGGTACCCGGATGGTCACCACCTCACCCCGCTTCACCACCAGACGGCTATTCTTCTCTTTGCCCAGCTTGCTTTTGAATTCCTTCACCTTGGCAAAGGTCCAGATGTACGGAGGAGCCATCAGAGGTGGGGAGACTGCAAGGACAGGCAGATTACTCGAAAACCTGTACCACACCTGACACTTTGCTTAGAGATTAATATAGTTTAAGGCATTTTGTTGGTTTCTCTCACTTCCTTTCATGATGTATTTTCTTTCCTTCATCTGACTACATTCTTTACATAGCTACTGAAAACAAACACCTTCTACATATCCAAAGTCTCACCTTTCCTGTGGTCCCCCAGAAGATCTGCAGATTCCAAATCAGATGAAAGAACATCTATAGTTCCTGTATGCTCAGACTGAATCATAACGATGTCTCCAGATCTTTTTGGAGCTTGGTACTTGGCCATCTGCATAACAGAAGCCTGGTTAAAAGATGTATCAGAGTGGCAGCATTCCATTAGCCTCTTTCCAAACGAAACCTGACCCACCTAGCCATCCAGTCCCTCAACTCAAAGTTTAATGTGCTATTCAACATCCCTTCTCTTTTTGCTGGGTACAAGTTGCGAATAAATTTTATACATCATCAAAATGTCCTCTCGCTTAAAGATTCCTTCTTGTTCCGCGTTTTGCAACCTTTGCTCCAGACTCTGTGAAATCCTCCACTGGTATCTTCTCATGGTGTGATTGATTTCTGCATCACCAGTGTTCCTGGGCCACGCCTTGGCCTCGCAGCAGCACACTCAGGACTGCCCTGTGGCTTCTCTCGTGACAGCTTTCACACCAGGGTTTAGCTCAACTCCCATTCTGCCACTCTTCCCTGCTCTAAGGGCAGCTTCTACATGAAGTGCCACTTCCCACTCAAAGGTTACTTCCACACTGCTGTCAGTAGTGCCCGTCTCTGCAGTTCCTGTGTCTGTCTCCCTCCCTTCCTCCCTCCTTCCCTCTCTCCCTCCCTTCCTCCCCATGGTACTAGGGATTTAACCAGGGCCTTCTGGCTGAATGTTTACTTTTCTTTTTGAGGTAGTGTCTCACTAAGTTGCCTAGGCTTTTCTCAAGCTTGTGCTCCTTCTCCTGTCCCAATCTCCCAGGGCTGGGATTACAGGCACATGCCACCATGCCTGGTCTCACTCTTTCTTCCCATTACCTCTCTTTCATCCACAGCTCAGAGTACATGTTGTCTCACCCCCTATGTCACTAACACAGTTCTATAAATAATTACAATCCCACCTTAGATCATCTCTAGGATTTGCATTTGAACAGTACATTTGTCGCCAGATATCTGACTTGCATGGAAGAACACAAATGGCACTTGATACAGCCCCCGCTTACCATGTTGAAGTTTCCCTTCAAGCCACTCAGATTATGCCCTTCTTTCATACTATTATGCCTCTATTTCCTGTCCCTTCTCCTGCTGGTAGAAATATAACAAAAAAAACTATACCCACTGCCCACAGGGGAGAGCATGTCGGTGAGTCAGCCGTCCAGTTAAGAGGCTGGTAGTAGATTTGTGAGAAATAAATAAATAAAGTTTCTAATTTTTCCAGGCATGCCCCCCATACTTGTATCAAGACAGCAAGCCCTCCAGCTCTCACTTCCACTGCTAAAAGAACAGAATTGGGTTTTGGCTAGAAAACTTTCCAAAAAGCTAAATAATGGATTTACTTTACAATTTATTTAGCTGCATAACCACAATAAAATCAGTCACAGCTCTTAGTCTTCTTGAGTCTAAGAGTCTTCACAGCTCTTAGTTTCCTTGTCTTTTTTTATTTCCTTTTTTATTGGTATATAGTGACTATATTCATCATGTAGAAGTTATACCTATACATGACATAACTTGTTTTTCTCTTAATTCCCCTTCCCATTTATTTATTTATTTATTTATTTATTTTTTGTTCTGTATTTAGGACAGCGTCTACAGGGTCTCACTACGTAAATCGGACTATAGAGATTCTCCCGTTTTCAGCTTCCCAAATGCTGGGATTGCGGGTGCCTGTCACCATGCCCAGTCTCCATCACAATCTCTATGCCCTGGGGGCACAGCAAGCCAGGGGCTCAAACCCCAGCTGCTGCGCTCTGTCTAAGCTGGGCGCTTTAGTCCACGGAGCTGTCAGGCCAGCCCTTCCCCTCCCCATTTATAAAGGGTTGGTTTTCCATGTTTTTTTTTTTTCTTTTCTCAATTTTCTCCCTTTCCCTTTTTTCCTATCCCCCTTCCCTCTCTTGTTAAATGAGCACATGATTATATCCATCTCACAAAGTTGTTCTGAGGACTAAATAAAGTGCTATAGATAAAAAATCTTTGTCAACTATAAGGCACTATGAAAATGTTATAATGCTTGGTCTTTTATTGATACAAATACCAATTTGATTCTAGTACCTACGTTAATATAATACGAATAATTCCTATATCCCACACCTTACATCAAGAGGACCACTACTTAGTAATACCAGTTCTATACAATCTTCTACCATAAATATTCAATAGATCTTCCATAAGAAAGTGAGATTAAAACACAGCCAATGGCTTAAGTTTCATCACACCAAAAGGATTATTTTGGTTTCTTGGGTTGGGGGGGGCTTCGACGCAGACTCTCACTATGTAGCCCAGGCTGACCTCGAGCTCGCACTGTGTAGCCAAGGCTGGATTCAAACTTGCAGCAACCTTCCTGCCTCAGGCTCACATGTGCTGGTATTATTACACTGACACACCACGAGGACTGCTGTGAATATCCCTTCTCACAAGTGCCCACTGGGAGCTAAGACAATGATGGATGCTGTGGGGGACGCAGATAACCATTCCAAATGATTAAAAATGAGATGGCCCAGAGGAGCAATGAGAGAACTCTGGGAACCACCATCAGCAGCAGTTTTAATTCTAACCCATCCATTATGTATCTAAGTTCTGGTACCACGAACTTCTTCTCTTATATGAGACAAAATCTGCTCCCTACCTTGCTGAGGACCTGGGCCTGGTCAACAGGGAGTACGTCCTGCTCCACCAAAGCCTGATTCTCCAAGGCACTGGCTGCTTTCTGCAGATCTTCTGCGGCATCCTTACTTCTTGGAGATACCATCTGTGTCCTCTCAAAGGAAGAGAGCATGTCAATTTAAGGGTTACTAGAAATAAAACAATGTTCAAAGGACACCCCTACCCCTATTCTGCCTTCCTCTGCACTTAGGTCTGTATCAACTCAGCTGACAACCACCAAGGACAGAGCTGGCCCACAGTGTAAGGACACAGGACTGACAATGCCAGGTGTCAGGCTGTGGAAACCAAGGTAAACACACACACACAGTTCAGTCATCTGAGATGGACTCCAGGTCTGGTTTTTCTTTGTTGTTATTCCTTTCATTTAATTTTAATGGAAAAATAAAAACTGTACATATTTATGATCTACAGTATGATGCCTTGATACATGTACATACTGGAATGATCAAACAAGGCTAATTAACATATCCATTACCTCATGCACTTACTTTCTGTATTGTAAGTATACAAAATCCATTCTCTTAGCAGTACTTTGGTTTTTTTGTTTGTACTTATTTATTTTTATTTTTTTCCCAGAGTATTTTGGTTCCTAGACCTATTTGTGACATTGTTTTTTTTTTAAAGACCATTTATTATTTTTATTTTATTTATTTATTTATTTATTTATTTATTTGTTTGTGTGTGTGTGTGTGTGTGTGTGTGGCCAGCTCAGCCCGCCTGGGGGCAGGGCTGGCTGGCATGTGGTGCTGGGGGATTGAACCACGGTCCATGTGCGTTGCTAAGCTTGTTCTAAGTAGGTGCTTTAGACCACTGAGCCATCTCACCAGCCCCTACTTATTTATTTACATTGACACAACACTACTAATTTGTGGGTACAATGTGTTGTTTTATACCTGTAAACAGTGTAATGATCAAGCCAAGATAATTAACATATCTATCACTTCAAATACTTATTTCTTTGTAGTAAAACATTCCAAAATCTTTAGGTGATTCTCAAATAACTATTTGTTAACTAGAGTCACTCTATTATGCAAAACTTAAGCAAGGAAGGATAATCACAGGGCATAACTTGGCTCACGAAGAAAAAATTTCTAATGGCTAAAATAGGAGTGTGTTTTTGCAACAAATAGCTGAGTTTCAGCCAAACACAAAGAGCTGAGTTTCAACCAATCCCAAGGCCCCAGGGAATCAGGCCATGTCCAACCAAGGCAAAGGCCTCCCCATAACCAATCCTGTTATTTCTGTAATTCATTTCTTATTCAGCACGCTGACGTAGGTACACAGCAGAGCTCTCTGAATCCCTTTCCACCTCGGGTGCTGCCCAATTCATGAACTGTTCCTTGCTGAAGCTGTTAAATTTGTCTAAAGTTTTTAACATACAAGAACACTGTAATGCCAAAAATGCAAAACAACTAGAAAAGCATTCGTTTTAACAGAATTAGCAGGTTCATATCAACTATTTCTTTTTATGTCATTTATTTCATGGTTCTTTGTTTTTAGTTGCTGTACTGTCCAAAATGTCAATCTTGTCTTTCTACCTTCTGAGTAAAGAGTAATGTTATCCACAGTGACTTCATAGATCACACTGTCATCCTCATCCTTGTACTCTGTTGTAATCTGAACTATCCTTTGAAACTATCTTGGGGTGAGTGGGGGAGATAGCTCAGTGGAATAAGTACCTGTCTGGCAAGTGCAAGGTCCTGAGTTTAATCCCTGGTACACCAAAAAAAAAAAAAAAAAAACAAAAAAATAAAAAACAAAAACAAAAACACTATCTTGGGAACTCTACTCTTTTGAATCTACCTGATTCATCTCAAATAAAGCCAAATTCATTTGTATAACTTTGCTGAGAGCCCCACCGATATTTTCCGTATGAATTGACCAAGAGGAGCAGCCCCCATTTGTTTTCTGAGCTTTTCATTTGGTCTATCTGAACTGCCTGAAGACTAGAGGTTTTTCTGGAACTAAGCTTGGAGTTGATGACTTGCCCCATATGTCTCCTCACCTACAGTCAGAGGCTCTTTGCACCCTGACACCCTCCAGCACTCCAGGATGGGCACCGGAGAACCTGGGCTGGTGTGACATTCCCTGGGGGCCTCCGTGTCTCCACAGCCAGCTTCTCAGCAATTTTCAAGTATAAAATATATTAGTGCTAACAAGAGTCAGCTTGCCATGCAGCGATCTCTGCAACTCACTCCTCCTAACTCCCTGAAATCTTACAGCCTTTGAGCAGCAGCATTCAACCCCTGTAACCACCACTCTGCTCTCTGCCTCTGACAGTTGACTTTATTTCCTAGCAGACCCAGGACCATTTTTCCATACTGAATTATAGTGAAAAGAAGAACTAGGTTCCCAAGTTGGTCCTGCACACAAAGCCACTGGATAGAACCAAAGGGGAAGGCTACCTACGGCAGACATCACCACCAACACGAAGGAAGTGCCAAATGATTAGCAGTTCTCCCAGGAGCAGCCTGTGAGCAGTCCCCCTTCACACCCTACCTCAATCTACTCCCCTGGGGAATCAGTTTATTTCTCCTTTCAAGCACAACACTTTGTGGGCAGGTGATTTGGAACAGGTGAGAATGATTTCTGCTTTCTTCCTGTTCCCCTGGCTTTAGAGAAAATAGAAAACGAGTTATGGACAAGGACTACAATGCAATCTTCCAGGCCTTTTGAAAATCTATTGCAAATAAGAGATGACAGGATTTTTTAAAAAGTATTAAGAATTCACTGAGAGAAAGCAAAGCTTCTGTCTAAGAGGGACAGAAGGGGGACACAAAAGCAAACTCTTACCTCCATCCAATTATGTCTGTGGGTTTTTTAAAACTGAGGAGGAACAAGGGAGATTAAGAGTGGAAAGAATTCAAGAGAAAGAAAACTTCTGTCTAAGAGGGACAAGAGGTGGCCCGGAAAGTGGGTTACAAAATTCCAGAAAGTGTGGAATTTTTTAGATGAGCAATAACCAAAGAATGCTCTGCAGAAACCTGGGCATCAGGAGCCTTCAGGGGAGGTTGCAAAGTTCAATTTTTTTCATAATAACACTCTCTTATTCTCATTCCCTCAAGAGTGTGGAATTTTCCAGAGACTACAAGAATGTGGTATCACAACAAAACAGAGCCAGAAGCACCAACAGGTCCTTAATAATTTTTAAGGATAAACATTTATACCTACTTTGCACTTAAATTTACCATTTACTTTAAGGACTTTTTCCTTATTAACATCAATAAAAAAAAATCATTCCCAGTGTATAAAAAACTTACTCTTCAGGCAAACTGAGCCAATATCCAAGTCATTCCAACCTATCTCAAAACAGTCAGAATGAGGTGGTGACTATGAAAGCAAGCTACAGGTTGTTGTGAGTCCACTTATTTTAATGGTGCTAAATTCTGAAATCCCAGTCCATTTCTGGATCTTTTTTTTTTTTTTTTTTTTTTTTTTCAGTGCTGGTCTAGGCTGGCCTTGAATTGGTGATCCTCCTCCTGCCTCAGCCTCCAGAGTACTGGGATTGTAGGCCACGCCTCGCTCTGCTGTCCTTTTCTGTGGAAGGATTTCTTTTTTTTTTTTTTTTTCTTTTTTTTGGTCTTTCTGAGACAGGATCTTGCTATGCAGCTCAGGCTTGCCTTAAGCTCACTTTGTAACCCAGGACCTGTACATGCAAAGCATGAGCTCTACCACTGAGCCCCAGCCCCAGCCCCCACTTCCGCATCCTGACACTTTATTATCTGTCTCCTTCTCTGCACGCAGGCTTGATGTCAGGGATGTGGCACTGTTCCCACTCTGTGTGCAGCAGCCACAACCAGGACAGAGCATGGAACGCTTGGGCCATCTGCACTGTGACATCATCTTCTAGAACCCCTGTTTTACCCAGGTTGCCCTGTGGCTCTGACAGTCCTCAAATGCTTCAAGCAATCTTCTGCTTTATACTCTGTACTTGCTATAGCCTCTGCTTAGAGTATTCTTCTTCTGATTAACCATGGTTTCTTCCTTCTGCTCTCTGCTCAATTTGCACTGAGAAAATTTCAAGATGTCCAACCACAAACTCAGTCACTCCTCCCTGCTCTATCATTCTCTGTTTGCTTGTTTGTTGTTTTGAAACAGGGTCTTGCTATATGGTCTAGGCTGGCCTTGAATTGGTGATCCTCCTCCTGCCTCAGCCTCCAGTGCTGAGATTGTAGGCCACGACTCGCTCTGCTGTCCTTTTCTGTGGAAGGATTTCTTTTTTTTTCTTTTTTCTTTTTTTTTTTTTTTTT